TTGTGCCACGGCGTTTTGTTTTTAGATCAAAGTGCAATATTGTGTTTGCTCCATAGCTAATGACCATAGCGTGGCATTGATTAATTTAAAAGAACGTAAAACGGTGTTATTAGCTAATCGTCAATCGTATCCTGTTGTTGGACTACGTTGGCGAATCAATGATGACTTTTTATTGATTAAATGTTCAGATGGAAGTTTATTTATTTGGCAAATTGAAACAGGAAACCTCGATCGAGTTGCTCATGGAGTCTTAGCGGAAGAACTCTTTGAATGGTACAATGATCCGAGACTATTGAATGCAGGCGGCGATTTGCAGAATGATCCATTGTCAATGGCCATGACAAGTACACATTACTTTCAAATACGATCGACTTGGAAAAGAAGAGATCATGATCAAATGAAGAAATTAAATCGAAAGCTCGGTAAGAGAGTGTTCGAAGAATGTGAAAATCATTTAAAATGTGTCATCGTTTCTCAATTTAGGTAATCTACGTCATGATTTAATCGGTGCATCTTCATTCAAACATACGGAGTATCGTTTACCGATTGTCATACAACAGTTTCACACAAATCTTGGCGAGGATCTATCCATACTTGTTCTCTTCGATTTACTTCAATTGATAAGTAAGTAGATTTGCTGTAGTCCTATGCTTAACTCGAATATTTGCTTTGCTACTACATGATTAATAACTTCTCTTCTCTTATTTCTCTTTCTTTCTCTATTCACGCTAGGCCAAATTATCGTATTCGATCTTGAAAAACAGCACGCTCAAAATCCTAGTAATATCTATTTTATTAACTTGCTAATCATTTCCTAACTATTCTCTCCTACGTTCCCTTTCTCATCAATTTGTTATGTGTTTACTAGAATACATCGACACAGCAAATAGTGATGCTAGATTACAATTGACCCAAACATCGAAATCATTGGCCGTACTATCGGATTTTCTCGTTTCATTGCTTCATCCATGGTCATTCGATAAAACAATGGATAAAATTTGTCAAGAACGTCTACAACTCTATCGTACCAATCGATATCTATCTTATGGAATCTTGAGCAAAAACGATCATTTAACTATTGTTTTACCAACATGGCAACAGTATCTCAATGATAATATTCCAGAAACATTTTTACCACTTCAAACAGCACTGATTTCATTCGATGGAATGGAAGTGAACGAAAATGAGATAATACGACAGTTTGTTGAGAAAGAAAAATCGTTTCTTATAGATAACACTCTTCTTATGTTTAGAAAACAAGAACGAGTAGAAAATTATGTGTACCAATGGCGATGGACGTACTCATCGATTCTCAATACGGAGCATTTATTAAGTTTAGTAACGATGGTTTATATTTTAATGAATTGTGATCGATGGATCTGCAATGTGTAAGTCCGAGATTTTCTAAATAAATCATCCGAAAATTTTGTTTATATCTAGAACAAATGATCAAAGTGATCAAGCAGTGGTAAGTAGAGAGAAATGCTTTGATAGGTTGATTGTTGATGAACTAAATTTTAGTTAAATCAACGAGAAGCATGGAGTAAATTATTACAGTTTTATTGTTCTGATATGCTTGAACAATGTCAAACAAAAGCTTTTCAATCATTGTCTATCGAGATCCTATGTTCACACTGGCAAGATCTATGTCTAGAGGTACATTTTCATTTTGAAATATTGAAAAAATTGTGTTCTTTATTTCAAGCTACGGGATGCCGCACGGAAATTACTCGAAAAAGAACTTGATCATTTGCATAAAAATCACGACGCATGGCATATATTCATATCAAAATGGTCAATATTGTTCAATCAGTCATATAATAAAGAAGCCGATGGTGCGCTATACGATCAAGATATTCGTGATATATTTCTCGATGATTTGTCATGTAAGATCGTTTAGAAAAAAAGGGTAACTTTCATTCCTATTGGTGGAACTTTGCTTTTAGTTAATAACGAAACAGCGACAGTAACAACAGTCAATCAACAGTATAAAACTCAACAGATGTTATCAATTATATTGATTGGCATTATCGGTGCGCGGTACGGACAAGAAGTTGAACAAACAAAACAATCAAATGCGCCAATCAAAGGATTTACTGTAGATAGTCCTGAAATGATTTTAAAACTGAGTGCGAACGATTTAATATTCATGGATATCGATATGATCATCTGCTTTCATTCTTTATAGGTCGAATCTTAACAAGTCTTTTATCTCCATCGAACTTCGATCATATACCCATCCATACTGTTATTCGTCGAACAGCAATCGATCTTATTGGTCGTGGTTATACAATCTGGGAACCATATTTAGATATTGGACAAGTTCTATTAACACTACTTGATCTATGTGCGATCAGTGATAGTACAACGATCTCCAGCAAGTAAGTAATCATATCTAGCAGAGTATAAAGGTTTGAGCGCGAGGAATACTTTCAGGCAGCCTAATATCTATACGAGCAGGTAGTATGACAAGCCAAAGGGTGGAGGGGAATGCTTGCTTTGTTTTTATCTAGACAAATCGATTTAACAATCAAACGGCATGGAACGAGGTGTGTTGGTTAGAACCTAATGCACGCTTTTTTTTCCTCATTGTCTGTGTTTTGTTCTTGTATCCTAACCCAGAAACTTCTTGTGTTGATTTAGTCAAAGTTTGCATCGAATACTTTGTTTTCATTTAGTGTAATAAGCGGAATTTTGACACCTAAAACAGATACCTGTCTAACAGCACGGACTGCGTTGACATTGATTGCTACATCCCGTTCGAATGTGGTCATCATTACACTAGCACGCGAGATAGCCAAACATGTTCTTTCGCAATCTGGTCAAACATCGTCGTCGGCAGCACGCACTGCCGCACCATCGCAAACGACACTGACGATAAGAAATGAACAAAAACATGAAATACTTCGTTTAATTAAGATCCTTATCGAAAAATGTCCACATGATGTTGCGGAATTGATTATTGAAGTAAAATAATTCACATCAATGATTACAAATACTGATCGAAATTTATTGATTTTTCAGGTTACCGATATCATATTGAATTGCATTGATTTAAGCACTCTTCGACATAAAAGTGTTCAAGCCGTACATGAAACATTCGGATTACTACTAAAGTAAAAATTTATGATCATCAATCATCGTTTTAAAATTTCTAAACTGTTCTTTAGATATCCAATAGTAACTTACTGCTATGACTCACCGAAATTATGTGTTGGTACGAAAACAGGTGTTCTTGCTTTGTATGATTTAAAGACACCGAAATACCAAGTAAAGATAAAATCTATTTTTCGAAGAAACATTAGTTTACTTTGTTTTTCATTCAAGCCATTTCAAGCTCATCCAAAGAATGAAGTAATTACTTGTGTCGAATTCTCACCGGATGGCAAATATCTGGCTTCTTATTCCGCTTACGAAGGAATTTTGTACTTTTGGCAAGTGAGTTTCTCTTCTACATCTTATTGGTATTTGCAAGGAAAAGCCTTCTTGTTGTTTTGCTTTGTAGACATCATCGAATACATTTTTCAGCACATCCAATACGATTCATCTAGTGTCTCGACATGCTGCTCAACGACTCGATCGTTCGATTCCATCGCCAATGAAGAAGGTTGACATGAACTGGCTTGATCGCACAACTGTTCGGATGTATTGGCATGTTGATAAGAGCGAAAAGAAATTTACAGTATAAACTCGAACGACTTCAAACAGTGACTTCCTTTTCCCATTCCTTTTTTTTATATTGTACTCGTCAATGTCTGTGCAATAGATTATGAATTTTAAACAACAAATATAACGTAATTTATCAATCGAATTCAATCTTCCCTTTGCAATAGTAGAATGGCGAAACGATGTCAGACACGATTGATAATTCCATATTCCTTTTCGAAAATAAGGTTCATTTAGTTCACTGGATACGTCACATATGCTATTACGCAGGTATATTTTCTATCAGATCTGAACATTCATATTCAATTAGAAAACACATTATAATGAATAGGCAAATTCAGAATATTCCTCGATTGTAATCTACAGATAAAAAAGAAATAGTGTCGGATGTCGTTTTTTCGAGGAAATCGAATAATTAATAGTCCGGCATTGAAAATGTCGTCTCACCATAATCTTCAACTCGCTTTTCATTCGGATTTACGCGAACATGAGACGTACAGACCTACATCTCTTTACTTTTTTTTCAGAGATTTTCTGAAAACTCGCGTGCAGATATTCGTTTTTATCCGTGTCTTATGTCATCTTATTCATATCCTTTATAGGTCCATACTACACATCTATCACGTAGCATATCGATTTAGAATTTTCATCGTAATGTAGACACTGTTGTTTATCCTTTCGGAAACAATCTGTTTCGCATTAAACTAAGATTTGTTTTATTTCAAGTTTCGATTGTAGAAGATAAGATTCCTCATAAAAATGATTGATTCATTTCAGTCGTTTTTTTCCACATCTGCTAGACGTATATCCTCTGGAAAGAATCGATTGATAAGTCAAACATTCTTTCTATGTTATTCTCATTCTCTTGAACAAAACAAGTCAGAATATGAAATCACTGCCGATTGAACATTATCGTCACTTCTGTTTCCTTCCATCTCAGATGTTTTGATCTCTCACATATGTGTACATGTGAACGAAAAGAATGCTCAACTGCTTCTGCCATAAAAAGCAAACAAGCCCCAGAGAGAGATAGAGAGAGAGAGAGCTAGCAATTAAATGCACGTTCATTCTTCTATGTAGCATATCCGATAGATCGAGGCAAGACAGAAATGTGTTTTCTTTTTCCTTTCCCTTCGTCGGACAGTATCTTTCTATACGCTAAAAAAATAAATCATCAACCATCAACAGTACATTGATGGCCATCTAAATAATAATAGGAGGAGAATAAAAGGAACAGCATCACATCACAATAGATATCTCATCTAGATATATACATATAGACGCGCAGTTCAGTTACTGATCATATTGACCCCATTCGTGCCAATACTGGAAAGATGCTCATCTCAATCGTAGTTGCTACACTTCTAATAACAGTAAAGATCGCACAAACAGGTAAAATTTTATTTGATTTATTTGTAAAAATATCACCGAAATCTTCTTGTTTAGATAGTCTTAAAACTACATTACCCGTGTCGATGATACTCGATGGATTTACATTAGAACAAGTAAGAAGCATAACGAATACATTTGTTTGTATTCATAATTTCATTCTATTAGTGGAATGAACGTTCATTGTGGAATCAAACTTGTCCCATTATTGTTCATCATTTAAACGAATTCTGTAAAAAAGATTATCTTTGTGATGCCGAGTAAATATTCAACTTTCTCACATTCATTCGATTAACATAAACTTTCAAAATAGATATGGAATCGCCAATGTACATCTAATGCATGCCGTTCAATACAGTTTAGCATCGATTCAATTGAATATAACAGCAGATAAACCTGTGCTATCAATGACTACTCGCATGGGTAATACACTTTCCTTGTACAATTACACCGGATTATTAACAAGTGAGAACGTCGCAAAAAATTGAATTGTATTGTTTTCGCTTATTCGATTGCTTTTGTTTTATTTAGGAGCGTTACTTCAAACGAAAGTTGATATCGAACGTTCGAATGAACGTCATTTGTTCTTTACTTCCAACTATTCCAATGAGAATTCATTCGTCAGTCGAACAAGTCGTTTGTTATTTGTTCTTCTAGGAATTCTTCTTGTTGCTACGGTATTTGGATTGACTGTTTTATTCTTTCAAAGAATGTAAGATATATCTTCTTCTTCTTCTTGAAATTGGTTTTTCTCGATTATTCTTTAGTCGTCAACATAGTTATTCAAAATTACTTAAAATTCCACGAATCTACCAAACTACTCAAGACGAACCATTAACTGACGCACCATCAACAGCTGCCTTGCATCAATAGAATCAAGCGTAGCGCATATTTCTTCTCTTTCATTTTATGAGCAACAAAAGAAGAGGGAAAGTCATCATAAAATGATTATTTTCGAACATGTTAATCACTAATCGGATGTTTCTCTTTTGATGTAAATAAATCCAGACACATTTCAATAATAATAATAAAATTAGCGAGATTTCATTATGTAGAGCTGGAATCATTCGAGTGCGAAATATTCCGAATACCCGGTATCGGATAACTCAACCTACATAACTTTGTCGATCGATTACGAAATAATTTATTTTGTCATTGTTAGCAAACATAACGTCAAGGGAATCTCAACTTCGACTGTAGATCTTTTTGACTTTCATTATACGATGTGATATTCAAAATAGGTCTTTTTCTTTTGTTTGTTCTTTGTTAACATAATGTCATGATCAATGACAAAAAACGGATAGAAGATTAATAGGGAATAGGCAATGAAAGCAAACAAGATGAGTTTATCAACCTGGATTACACACGTAGATGAAAATAAAATGTCGGAAGAAAAAAAAAACCTCATTGTATATTCGTTCAACGAGTACGATCGAGAATGAATATATATGAGTAAGAAGATATCACACTTAAGCAAAACAAAAACTCTTCATACGATCACAGGTCCTTATTGGAGTTAAGAACAAATGCATACATTCATTCTCAAGTATCTCATTATCACCAGTGCTTTTTGTCGTTGATCACAGTTGTTTGAATTGTGAGATATGCGTCCATCATGCGTTTTCGCGTCATGTCAGTCAATCGTTGAAGATCATTGTCAAGTGTCATACCTGTTGTATTGATCGGTTCAAGACATTTGATCGTTACACAACCAGGACGCCAATAATAACTATTCGTCGATTTGTCGACATTATATATTGGTTTATATGACGAAAAAACAATGGGAACAATGGGTATTTGTGCTTCAATAGCTGTGCGAAAAGCGCCAAGCTTAAATGGAAGAAATGTCTCGGACATATTTCTTGTTCCTATACGATGAGAATAAGGTCACAGTTAAAAAGAGTAAAAAGTTTAATTAATTGATGTACCTTCGGGAAATACCCACAATCGAAGTGATTGGGTTTTGAGTTTTTCAATCAAATTCTTCATTGTTTCTGCTGCTCGTTGACGATTTTTTCTATCGACAAATTCGACACCTGCTAGCCACGATGATGGCCCGAATGGCCCAGCCCAAAGCAACTCTTGCTTTGCTAATATAGTACAATAATGAATGTGTTTCGGCCAAAGATACATCATGCCAATAAAATCAATCGATGACTGATGATTCGCCACAATCACACAAGATTTGCCATCGTCTAAAACTTGTCCATTCTCCACACGATACTTCAAACCGAACAAACGAAGAAATGGATTCAAACCAATGGCCGAGAGACGTATGTTCAAAGCACTGCGTGGATGAAGTAGAAAAATCGGTGGTAATATAATTGAATATAAGATGACTAGACTCGCATAAAGCGTATATTTAAGTTTAAATAATTGCTGTTCATTGAGAATATAGTGAACCATTAAATAGACGATTATACTTAACAAAAGTATACCGAGCAACAATAGAATCAAAATTGAATACATGATTCTTTTCTTATCTGAAACAACTCAAGAATTTTCGTTTTATTTTTATTATAAAGATTAACTATGTATGTACAAGTAGATAACAATAGCTATCAATTAGAACGTAGGATGCAGTTTGGGGAACAAAACAAGACGAAAAAAGAAGATTGGAACGGACTTTAGTATTGAAAAATACTCAACTAATAGAATAGATGTAATCATGCATAGAAAAGAAAAGTAGTATCCATGATATTTTGTTTAAAACGTTGGCTGAAAATGAGAATGTGTTTCAGAAACAATCATTGTATGGCACTGCGGGAATCGTTGTCGCCAGTCATCTGATACAAAACAAACCGACCACATGCCAACAGGTACCAATGTTAGAAACAATCCACATAGAACAACAACGAATGATAAACGATAGTTAAAATATAATAAACGATTCAAAAGAACTAAAAATAACCAACTACTTGCTAAAGCTAATCCACTTAATTCTCTTCCTTCTTCGTAATGCAAAAAGTGGCTCTTCACGTTCATCGTACCTCCTTCATATTGATATTTAAATAAAAAGTGACAACCATATGCAATGATCAAACAAAATACAAATGCATTCATACAGATAATCACATTTGATAACGAGCGATAGTTAAACAATTCAATCGCGAGAAATATTGATGTACACATGTAAATCGTTACCCACAAATACCAATCATGATCGTTCAAGTTAACAAAAGCTGCGAATAGAAAGAATATACAGCCGATGGCATTGGTGATACGCCAGATAATTTTGCTTGTTGATTGATTTTGACTCTCCATTGTCAGAAACATCTTCAATACAGAAAAAAAAAGAATACAAAATGAAGTTCATTTATTTAATCTGAATATTTTTCATTTCGAACAAATCTAACAAGAGCAAAAAAAACACAGATTAACAAAAAAATAGAAGAAATCTTTACAGAGATAGACAAGCAATAAGACTAGAGATCACGCTGAGAAGAACAAAAAAAAGAGAAATGTGTACAAGATTTTTTACTATTTCGTAAGCGAACGAGCGAAAAAGAGAGAGAGAGAGAGAGAGAGAGTGAAAGAAAGGAGAAAAAAAATCAGTTTCGTTTTATTATTATTGGTTGATAAGCAATAGAAGAGAGAACAACGTTTGGTTGGTGAACATGTCACAGTGTTTTATGGCTACTCATGAAAGAAAAAAGAGAGAAAATCATATTAAGTTCAGATAATACTCGAATAATGACGAAACATATTTGTACCGACTGGTTTTGTTTGTTGTTTCATTGCGAGTGAACCACCACGTACTGGTGATGCTATGGATTGATTTAGATTTGTTGATGGCGTTGTCGTCGAATAGTTCGATGTGTTTATCAATAATATTCGAGAGGTATCATTCGGTGTAGATGCGTATTGATGTTGCGGTACGACAGTAGATTGAGTTGGTGAAATTAATAGTTGTTGACATGGAAGATTCGAATCATTGATACCGGTTGGTAATGTTTGAAGGTCGGAAGAATTGGTTAAAAGATAATGACTAAGGAGTTTCTTATTCAACATTAGATTCTTTTGACGTTCACGTTTAAGACTATGACTAGATGGAAGGAAAAAAAAGATTTCTGTTGTTATTTATTTCAGATATTCAACTTACCGAAGCGATTCTCGACTAGTAAGTAATGTTGGACTGGCAACAGGATTGAGTAAAAGCTAAAACAACAAAGTTAATAGCATAGATTGCTCTTTCTAATGTACACAGGTACTATTCATTGAGATTAACATGACTGATCTCTTTGAATATGCAAAGATTGACATTGTGCCCTGTACGATATTTACTAATTGACTGAGATGCTATTCATAGAAAATAAAATCTAATTGCGTGTCAAGATAATTAATTAATTTTCTCCTGGATGGAATCTGGGACACATCACGTAAAACTAATGTTATTAGTTTTTCAATGGAATGTATCTCGAGTGGAGAACTGAGATTAGAATCTTTCAGATAGCTTTAATTTTACATTGTAAAACTAAGATGCTGAGAAAAATGATCACCTGCTCGAAATCTAATATCACATTCTCCTTTCTCGATATGAAGAATCTTTCCAATGAAACTTACCTCATACGCTGATGGCCGTTGATTCGGATCTAGATTACACATTCGTCCCAAAAGAAGTTCGTTAAAATGAACTGTACAATGAGGCACTGCATTTAAATATTGAGTAATATTTAATCTTAATTGTTGCCATTCATTGCCTTGTTTGGGCATTTCTCGATTGGTCGCACAAACATACAGTGTTAAACCCAACGAGAATATGTCACATTTAGCTAAATTCAATTGCTTCGAATGCGATTTCTGCAAAGCTTCTAATGCTAAATAACGACTATCACCATCTTCTTCCATTGACGACATACTAATCTGACTAACATGTCCCAAATCGGTTAGTTTATAAGTAATATGGTTGTTGTCATCATCATCGTCTTTATCAAAATTGATATTCACTGAACATTGAGATAACATTATATTCGCTGGTTTGATATCTAGATGTGCTAGATCTTGTGCATGCATAAATGCCAATGCATCGCTCATTTGATGAAGAATCTGTTTTAGTTGTTGTTCGTACATAAAGACGCGATTGCGTCGATTCTTTTCAACTACATCTTCTAATGATCCACCATTACAATACTCTAATTGCACGAAAAATCTTCCATCGGGCTCGATCCATGCTGAATGATATCGTACTAAGTTTTCATGTGAGATCAGTACAGCATGTGCACATGTTTCCCGCCATGCCATTTGTTCATAACTGGTACCAAGTACTGGTTGTTTCGAGGCTTTAACAGCATAAGTAATTCCATCGAGACGATTTCGACATAGATAAACGTGTGAAAATTCACCATGGCCAAGCAACGATTCTTGATGGAATTCTTCATCGAATCTTCGAATAGTCAGTTCGCGTAAAGATGGCGAACCAGCTGGGACAGTTCGAGATGATTGTCGACGTTCGGATGGTACATGCGCTGCAGCTTGTTGGTCACGTTTAGCAACGAGACGCGTACGATAACGAGGAGCGGGTGTCGTTGTAGTCTTAACAATAGGTACACAGGGAGAATCACGCTTCACACGTTTATTCGCCGAAGAATTCAATTGCGGACTGAATGGATTTGTATTAACTAAGTCACCTTTTGACTTGAGTGTTGATTGTTCATCATGACTGGAAATCGTCGATGTTGTCAGAGAAAGAGAGTCATCATGATGGCGACTTCGACGTTGGACTTTCGGTGAACGAAATGTACTTTCTTGTACATAATCAAGATTTTTTCGGCGTGTACATGGTGATTGATCGGGTGTTTTTAGTGACACTCGATCAACAGATAATTCTGACTTCAATACTGGATCTCGATTTCTCGTCGTACTTCGTTTACGTTTATTATTATTAGTTGTGCTTTTCGTTGCGTACTTGACTGTATATGTTGTTGCCGGTTTCAGTGCAACGGTACCGGATGATGGCGTAAAACGAGGGTGACACGGTGATTTGAATTCATGTGATTTGGTGACATGTGACGAGATGGGCGACGACTGATAAGAGATTTCGGACGGGGTTTGCGATAATGTTGTTAATCGAGATAACGCTGATTCAATGTTTATCGAATCATTGAGAATATAATCTTGTTGTGATGATTGCTGACTAAGACTGCATGAATCATCTTGTAAAGGTTGACTGCAACTACCACATGTTGATTCATCGAAAAGTGTTGCTGATGCTGGTAAGACTTGACTACAACTACTCTTAATAGTTAATTTTGGTGAAAAGGAAAGACGAGTACGTCGATTGAATTGGGATGCTAAACAACTACTGTCGGTGGATTGTTGACTGGCTACATCCGATTCGTCCGAGTCAAAAACAGGCGGAGGAATAGGACTTGCAAACGAAGACATCGTTAGACGATCTAAAAACAACAAATGAATAGAGAGAGGGTGAAACAATTAACAATGAATGGATAATCTTCGACGGACGGACCACCGTCGACAGAGAGACAAAGAAGCGCTGTTTTATTAACCAATCAGTACAGATGGTGCGACGAACAGCGTCATCTGTGGCCATCGAATATAAAACAGAACGTGTTCTCTGATATCTGTTTCAAACAAAACATCTGTTCATTACTTTCATCGAATTGTCTCCTAGAGGATTGCAATTGTTTCGGAAGTATGTCGTTTGTCGGAATTTTTTTGTACTTCGGTCAATTAATTACGCGAAGAGTAAAGAACATTTTCGTTCATTCTAATACGAGATTTGATGGAATAAGTTTCGTTCATAAAATTATGGAAATCAATTCCTTTGATGTGTAACTGATTGTAACAGTATACGTCATGGCTGGTGAAGAATGAATACCTCCTATGACTGAGATACTTTCCAATTCACTCATTGACCTAAATCAATATTGATTGATGTTTGTACATCTGTAAATCAATACCTATATATCTATAGATGAGAAACATGTTTCTTCTTCGCTTGTGAAGTAGTTTGTATTGTATACGAACATTGAGCTAATACAATTAGATCCTTACGTCATTAGATTTACTTTTCTACTCTTCGTCTTCTCTTTTTCGTTCGCTATCATCACCCTATCTCATTTATATGTTGCCCCGCTGTTACGTCTTTTCATTTACTTGTTTGTTCGCCTATCTGTTATATCTCTTTTTCTTCACGTTGTTTCATTTTAGCCATAAGGTGGCAACATAAGATATCGCAAGGCAAAGAAAAGAGAACAATACAAACATGAATCCATCAAATAATGATCGTGCAACTGGAAATGACGAATTAGACGGCATTAGAACTCAGATTAATGCAAAAACCAACGAATCTTTAGAATCAACACGTCGTATGCTTGGTTTAGTTGCCGAATCTCAAGAAGTCGGTACTAACACCATGATCATGCTCGATGATCAGGGCGAAAAACTCAAGCGAATCGAGGTAAACAATCACTTTTCCGCACTATGAACATTGTTGTTCTTTCTATAGAATGGTCTCGACAATATTCATGCTGGTATGGATGATGCAGAGAGGAATCTAAACAATTTGCAAAAATGTTGTGGTCTATGCGTTCTTCCATGGCAGCGTGCAAGTCGTACACATCGCCCATTCACGAATAGTAGTACAAGCATCAGTGGTGAAAACTCGTCGCCGACTATAGCTGAGCCAAAACTACGCATGGCTGGTGAAGAAGGTATGCCTTCGAAAGGTTATATCACTCGCATCACAAATGACGATCGCGAGGACGAAATGGACGATAATTTGCAATTAGTTGGCAGTTATCTTGGAAATTTAAAAAACATGGCTCTTGATATGGGTGACACTATCGAAAATCAAAATAAACAACTCGATCGGATTGCAGTTAAAACTGAAGTTGGACAAGTTCGAATTGATAGTGCGAACAAGAAAACTCAAGATTTAATTCGACGTGCGTAATTATGTTCCAAAAATATTTGATAAAATTCTTTTTCTTCTATATGTGTCTGTGTATTTGCGTGCATGAGTGTATTTATACGTATATTCTTTCAATAATATTCAACAGAGACGGAGAGTGAGAGAATGAAAAACGAGATAGATTATTCATCCGATTAAATTGGCCATTTATCAAAAATCTATTGATAAGCCACCTGTAAAATCAATATAATAATGGTTTTGAGATTGTAATGTGTACTGTTATTGTCAGCATGACAAGGCAATTTGTCATATTAAAATTCAATGACGTTTCATATGTGCAAATATATTGACGGTAAACGCACATTCAAATGATTATTTAATGACAGTATGCTTGAAAAGGTAGAATTACAGCTAAATACATATCAATATATATATATATATATATGATCGTGTTGTACCAGTTTGTTTCTCATAAAGAAAAAAAAACGAGAATATGAGTGGTGATTTGAACCCTGTTTCATGTCAAATGCTTGCTGATGAATTTATCAATAGTTTCAAGGCATTATCAACAAATCCATCATCGGAAAATCGAGATGGTGTGGTCGAACAATTACACTTGCAGTTAAAACGTGCAATTCCACATGGTTTACAAGCTAATAAAACATTTGCTTTTGCAATTATCGATAACTTGTATCGAGTTATACCTATTTTCGGTGCGATATTATCGAACAATGACGAGCAAAATAACGAATTAATTCAAACCAAGAAGTTTTTGGAAACTTTGGCAAACGCCTTTTATGAAGTATGCTTAATGGAAGTATTAGTTTTACTCAAAGACCCATCTCAATATGAAGTCATCTTCCGAAATTATATTGTTTTGTTGAAAGAATCGTACTTTTTGTCTGATGGTCGATACGACGGTTTGATCAATTGTATCTTACCTATTGTGACTTACTCAAGCATTTGGACTCCGGTAGCCATAGATGATGTTCCAAAAAGTATGCTTGCATATCTACTTACATTTACGAAAAAATATTGGCATTGTCAAGAACGGCAGCGTGTTATTCACACCATTCTTGGTGTACTGAAAGTTTTCTCGAAGAAGCCCACATTAGTTTCATTGATTATCGAAAGTCGATGGCCACATTCTTGTATTCAATGGTTAACGGATATGAGTACAAACGAAGAAATGCGACCGAGCTATAACGTTTGTCAATATATTCATTTGGTTCTTCAAAAATTAGCTCGACATCCTGCCGGTGTGGAGATTCTCAATCAATTAAATTGTCGTCAAATTCTTTGTGATACTGACAGTCAACTTCGCAAGCGCTACAGTGAAGTACAATATAATTGTTTTCATTTTCTGCGCTGCATGATCTATGCGCTACTAATGGAAGCCGATGAAATCAAACAAATGTCCATGTGTGCTGATGGTCAAATGTGTCAAACACTTCATGAACTTGTCTCGCATACCATCGAAGCTGCACGTCGTGAAAATCTATCCTATCGATGTTTTCACATATCAGAAATGTTAATTGTACTTTGCAAACTGTTTGTCAATGATGATATATTGACGAAGTGTGTGAACGAAAATGAGCAGCTATTTCAATGTTTATCGCAATTGATCGTTCACTTTGCAACGATTGTTGGTGACGTTAATCGAAATCGTCAACCAGTAGAAGACGAATCTTTGCTTGCATTAACAAATTTACTGTGGAGTATATCGTTCCATGAATGTTATCATGAAAAATTCCAATCCAATTCTACGCTTATGCATACAATATCAAATTTGGCAACATCATCAGCATTGTATGTTGGTTCGAGATCGAAATCGACTCCACGTGATCTGTGTTCATTGAAAAAAGCTGCGGAAGGAATTATATGGAACCTTAAATCATCTGTACGTCCAATCTCGAATGTACCAAGTCAGACAACAAGTCAACGACCACTTGCAATGATCAGTTATTCACACAGTGACTCAGAATTTTGTCACGAACTTGTTGAGCGTTTATCGGCACATGTACCGGTTTGGGTGGACTATAAACAAGCACAAGATACGATCGCACATTCCGACGATCTCTGGGAAGAGATTGCACGAGCGATGGAACTGGCAACGATCATTGTTTTGATTGTCTCAAAAGAATATTACGATTCAAAATCATGTCGACAAGAACTTTCATATGCAAGCGACACATTAAAAAAGCGTATCGTGCCTGTCTATGCACCTAACCAACAGTATCGTGCTAGTGGTTGGCTTGGTATTCGAATTGCTGGTCAGAAATATATTCATTTTGGACGAAAATTATTTTCCGATGCAATCAAAGAACTAGCATCAATGTTTGACACCGATCAAAAACCGCTGGCCGTTGCTTCGACTCCGCTTGTTCCACTTACAGCACCTGACACTATCCAAGAGAAGAAAACTGAAGTGGAAGGTAGCAAACTATTCGGATTAAAAGATTGGACTACGAAAGACATTCGACAATGGTTTGATGATAATCATATTCATGAAGATTTAACCAAAATTTATGCGGATCAATTTCAAACGGGCACATCTTTGATCGTTTATGCACGTCACGTGAAATTATTCTATCGAAATGAATACATTCGAGCGTATACAAAATATCATAAAATATTCCATGGAAAAAAACTTGATACAATGCACTTTATAACCTTCGTGGATGCACTCTACCGACTACGTCAAGAGTATGATCCAAATGGTGTAGTAGAAGACACATATGAAAAATACAGTGAAACACAATTAGTTCGTAAACTAAAAGTTCCAGATGGCGGATCAACATGGTTGTAACAGACATTTTCTTAATATGCACTGTATAATTTTATTCGAGAATCTATTGTTGTAGAATAAAATGGGCACTCTAATCCATATGTACAGCATTATTCGTATTTGTTAGTAAAAGTTCAGGTTTATTATAGTAAATCGTTCGACAATGCCGTTCAACATGCATCAATACCTCTTTTTGGCAGATGTTAAAAATCACATAGGAATGTCTATGACGTACATAAACGTTTGTCATTTTCTACTACTTAAGCACGTTGAACGGTCTTTCCAAAAAAAGAACAAACAAGCATAAAGAATATCGATTGAAAGCATAGCAGAATGCAGCCTTTAATCGATAGAGAGTTCATAAGAGCAGAAAGCATATCACACACATACACAAAAGCACAATCTCTAATTTTCAAGATAAAAACAAAAACACATCGCGTAAAAAGGAAGATAAAAAAAGCAGAACAACGAAAAGGAGTGATTACAGGCATCATTGTTAACTACGTGTTTAAAATATCTGTTGTCGTCGAGTAGCAGGTTGGTGATCAGCCAATGGTTTTGATCCATGTCGATTCACCCAACATTGTTTGCAGTACGATCGAAGACAATGGAAGTTTCGACAAAACAAGTCAGCAACCGATGGACAAAATGCACACGGTTCATTTTCACGCAGGAATGGATCAATATCGAGCTAAACACAACGTATCTCACATCTACTACTCTCATCCTCACATCTAATCAACTCACCAACTTGTGAAAACAGTCACACTTGATGTCGATTGCACCTGCAGCCACTGCCCGCATGTAACTATGCGAATCACAGAACAACACTGTTCCAGTACCTACAACACCCATACTCTCTCAATCCTTACACCCATCCCACAATCTCTCACTCACCCGTTGGATAACCATACTTGTCCGTGTTGATCTGAGCCATGGACACCGAGCCAAACACATTGGCCATGATCGTGGCCAAACTGAATGCCGTCATCTTGCCATGAAGTGGTGACACGAAGATTGTTCGTGACCAATCCTTGTAGGATGCATCGTTGGTAGAAATATTTTCTTGTTGAACGACAAACACGTTGTCCTTCATGTTCCATGGCACAACTTGAATCTAGCGGCAGTAATAGACGGAGCTGGCGATGATACAGAGGAGGGTGATACATACTGGTTTGAGTCGATTGGGTCGAAGCGAAAGACCCGACGATGCTGAAGATGGACCTCCAGCTGCCGTTGTCATTGTCGTTGTTGTTGATGATGATGTCAGTGACATGTGAATATGAAGAAAGTAGTCGATAGTCGATCGTTGTTGTCGGGTACAGTGCTTGAGAAGCTCGCACACTGATCGTGACTCGCGAAACACAACGTGACAAAAACCTGTGTGAATGGTGTGAGGGTATGACAAAGTGAGAATGAGAGTGGAGTACCTGGCATGTTATGAGTGAGTCCATCGTTTTTGGGCCACTTGATGTTGCACTTGCCGAACTTTCTCAACACCAACAACAGCTCAGCTGAAACGAAAAAGTAGAGAGATGATGGGAGAAATGATGAGAAGAAGGGCGAACCTTCGGTGAGTTCAGGCGGAATGCCACCGAGAAAGACTTTCTGTGAGAAGTGAGTATTGATCTGATACTGATCCATGGTCATGGGCTCAAATCTCATGGGCAAGTAACCTCGCCATGATGGCATGGGATTGGATCGGTTGGCAGTGTGAATGACTTGAGGCTGTGGTTGAGACTGAAGAAGAGGACCATTGCCTAGAAAGAATGGTGGGGAATGAGAGAGAGAGAGAGAGTAGAAAAGAAGGTGTGAGTGAGAGTTACCAAATGTTGCGGAAGAAGAAATAGATCTGAATGAAGGTGGCACTCGTTGTAGGTCGTTGTCGTTGAGAATGGAAGGAATGTTGTCGACTGAGGCGAGTGTTTGTCGGCTAGATGATGGTGTTGACAATGGCAGACGTGATTGTGCAGTAGTAAAACGATCGATGTTCTCACTGGATGTGATCAATTGATCCGTTGAACTGGTTAATGTTGATCGAGCCTAAATTGTCAAATTCCACTTTAATAAGCGAATGATCATTCCGTCGGCGAAAATCAATGAGAGAGAGAAGAAACCTATGCTATATCCGTGGATGATTTGATAATCATATATTTTTGTATAATCTCTATCGATTTACGAGGATCATGGTGCTTACCGTTTGTTGCTCAAAATTTTTGTGATTAGAAATATTGTTGAATGACATCACGGATGATGATGCTGATAAGCGAGACATCGGTGAGATTAAAACATTTGATAATGATGATGTGGGTACATTTTTCCTATTTCAATTTAAAGCGAAGCAACATTAAGAGAAATTTAGGAGCATGATTAGCACGCTACTTACAAAACATCTTTAGCAAAACAGGATTCCCCAGATGAAAGTTGCTGTTGTTGAGAAAAACTCGAACGAAAATTCAAGTTTTCCATTTCTGATTGCCTAAAATACATTCGATCAAACAATTTCATAAACTTAAACAGAACTCAGTCAAGTGCAACAATGATTTGACCGTAATTGTTTTGAACATACCATCGAATCATTGTTGATGATCGTGAAAAAGTAGAATTATCATAAAGAAAATTTTGATTTTCGATTTCATCTATATCGTTGTATGTTTCATTCGAAACTATAGTTGAATGTAAAGATGGAAACAATGATAAATGAGACGTTGACTGAAGATTCCTTTCATTATCTGATGAACCTTCGTAGAAAAGTAATTCGAATAATAATCAACAATATGCAAACTCACCTAGATCGGATGATGAAGAGGTTTTTAGAAATTTTTTATCCATTGAATAGAAATTTATTTATTACAAAAATATCTAAAACGATGAACATCTTGATTAGCATGTTTATTTGATAGTGTTCTTTTCCGCTCGAATCGCGATAAAAACAATGTATGAAATCGTTCGTTTTCAATATGCATCTCTCTTTCTATCTCTTGTTTCTATTACAAGCACGTGTGCACTATGATGAACATTTAACGTTTCTTTCTGTTTCTCTCTCTCTTCTTCTTCGAATACTATATGCCGGGAAGCGAGAAAAGAAAAGCAGAAACAGCTCGCATAGCTGATAATATTTAAATTACCAGAAAATAAAAAAAAACGATTTATTTTCGAACCCTGGAATATGTCGTTATTAAAACCGTTGGATCTTCCCATCAACAAATCATGTTTCATTTAGATGACCAAGCAACTGTTTATTTTCTTCGCAAAGAAAAACAATGGAAAATCATGACAACAATATTAACATGTAGACAGGTTCAAAAACAAAAAAAAACAAGACAAAAATCTTCATTTGTGAAATGACTATTCTACAAATATTTACAAGATCAGTGAAAACCGGTTTACTATTAGTTCAAATGAGAAATACCAACTAGAAAAACAAATGAACAATGGCAAACGATATCAATCGATGTAAAAACTTCCTAGTAGTTTTTCTCGATAGAAACAATTTATGTACACGCCACACATTGACACAAATAAAAAAGCACAATAACCAATTTTCGCATTAAGTTTTTAAACACATGTAAAACGAAGACATGAGCACCCTTTTTTCAACAAGAAAGGAGAGAAAATGTATACAAAAGTGAATAAAAAAGAAAACACATAGAAAAAAGGTTGCTCTACATTGATTAAGATAGATTCCATAGTTTAAATTTGCGGTAATGGTTGTTGTCGTCGGGTAGCAGGTTGGTGGTCAGCCAATGGTTTTGATCCATGTCGATTCACCCAACATTGTTTGCAGTACGATCGAAGACAATGAAAGTTTCGACAAAACAAGTCAGCAACCGATGGACAAAATGCACACGGTTCGTTTTCACGCAGGAATGGATCAATATCGAGCTAAACACAACGTATCTCACATCTACTACTCTCATCCTCACATCTAATCAACTCACCAACTTGTGAAAACAGTCACACTTGATATCGATTGCACCTGCAGCCACTGCCCGCATGTAACTATGCGAATCACAGAACAACACTGTTCCAGTACCTACAACACCCATACTCTCTCAATCCTTACACCCATCCCACAATCTCTCACTCACCCGTTGGATAACCATACTTGTCCGTGTTGATCTGAGCCATGGACACCGAGCCAAACACATTGGCCATGATCGTGGCCAAACTGAATGCCGTCATCTTGCCATGAAGTGGTGACACGAAGATTGTTCGTGACCAATCCTTGTAGGATGCATCGTTGGTAGAAATATTTTCTTGTTGAACGACAAACACGTTGTCCTTCATGTTCCATGGCACAACTTGAATCTAGCGGCAGTAATAGACGGAGCTGGCGATGATACAGAGGAGGGTGATACATACTGGTTTGAGTCGATTGGGTCGAAGCGAAAGACCCGACGATGCTGAAGATGGACCTCCAGCTGCCGTTGTCATTGTCGTTGTTGTTGATGATGATGTCAGTGACATGTGAATATGAAGAAAGTAGTCGATAGTCGATCGTTGTTGTCGGGTACAGTGCTTGAGAAGCTCGCACACTGATCGTGACTCGCGAAACACAACGTGACAAAAACCTGTGTGAATGGTGTGAGGGTATGACAAAGTGAGAATGAGAGTGGAGTACCTGGCATGTTATGAGTGAGTCCATCGTTTTTGGGCCACTTGATGTTGCACTTGCCGAACTTTCTCAACACCAACAACAGCTCAGCTGAAACGAAAAAGTAGAGAGATGATGGGAGAAATGATGAGAAGAAGGGCGAACCTTCGGTGAGTTCAGGCGGAATGCCACCGAGAAAGACTTTCTGTGAGAAGTGAGTATTGATCTGATACTGATCCATGGTCATGGGCTCAAATCTCATGGGCAAGTAACCTCGCCATGATGGCATGGGATTGGATCGGTTGGCGGTGTGGATGACTTGAGGCTGTGGTTGAGACTGAAGAAGAGGACCATTGCCTAGAAAGAATGGTGGGGAATGAGAGAGAGAGAGTAGAAAAGAAGATGTGAGTGAAAGTTACCAAATGTTGCGGAAGAAGAAATAGATCTGAATGAAGGTGGCACTCGTTGTAGGTCGTTGTCGTTGAGAATGGAAGGAATGTTGTCGACTGAGGCGAGTGTTTGTCGGCTAGATAACGGTGTCGGTAATGGTAGCAAATATTGTGCAGATGACATGGAATGACTATTCTTATTCGGTATACTTAATGAATTAGTCGAATTCTTCATTGTTGGTCGGAACTGAAATTATCAGATAAAACAATATTTAGCACCTTTCGCAATATGTGAAGAAATTTTATTGTATTACGAGTCAGCATTTATAGAATTGTTTTTAGAGACACTTACTGATCGTTGATTCGTCGGTGCTTGGTTGCTGATACTGCTAAACGACATGGTTGATGACGATGTCGACATGTGGGACATAGGTGAGACGAGAACATCAGTTATGGACGACGAAGTAACATTTTGATTGGTACTGAAAGAGCATAATTAGAATGAAAGAGTTGTGTTTGAGGTAGATTAGGAGTGATAGTGTCGGTGAAACTCACCGAAAGTCAGTAATTAGATAGCTTGGTGGTGGAGATGATTGTTCGTTGAGTTGAAAATTCAAACTTTCGATATCTGACTGCCTGAAAATCGGGTCAAAGTGAATTGAGAGATTTATAGTGTATATATATACTCACCACCAGGTTACATCAGCTGTTCGCCGTGAACTATAGTTATCGGAGAAAAAGTGATGATCATCTAATGAATTTGCAACATTGCTCATATTAGCTAATGTAATTGACGAACGAAGAGGTGAAAGCACGGACATAGTCGACATCGGAGGAGCAGTCGCAGTGTTAATACCTGAATCATGAGAAGAAAACTCGGATAAAACTAAACAGAAATGAATAGTTCGAATCTTGAAGATATTGCATGGTGTGTAACAACATCGTACTTGAATCGGGTGACGTCGATGTTGTCTTTAGTTGATCGTCCATCGCAGAAATACGTTTTTATGCTGAAAGAATGAACAGGCTGCACCTAAAATACAAGATCTATCAGAATTCCGCACTGTGCATGAGGGTGAAGCAAGGAGCGAACATCTGAATAATCAGTATAGCCCGTCGATTACATATCGAAGAGAAGTGGCGCAAGAGAAGAAAGCCTCCCGTCATGTATGGGTCAATATATATTTTGAATACAAAGAATCAGTAGTATAGTCTATCGATTATGTATAGATTGAAATAATTTCGAAAGAGGTCACTTAGTGCCACGCCTCACACGGTGAGTATCGTTATAATATCTGTGGAAAAACACGATGAGAGTAGATTGATTTTGTAAAGAGCAGTGAAAAATGAATATGATTTCTTTCTAGTAAATTGATTTCCAAGCACCGGTATTTTATTCTCAAAAAAACATGTTATAATTATACGAAAATACGAAAGTCATGTGTCATAGAAAAATCGAACTAAATAATAGCGAATGAAAAACGTCAGCAAAGTGCCAAAGACAATCTGAAACAAAAAATATCCGTCGGAAAGTCTGTCTTCATAAATATGTATTCTTACTTGTATCAGTATCAGAATTTGAGTTAAGGTTTCTTCATGCAATGGTCCACACCAACAGAGTACAGTGTTGATAATGGTAAAATTCGTTGTAGATATCATCATTTGATTATCATGCTTTTTATACTCACGATATTTGATAAATTTTGTTGCTGAAAAGAAACGTAACATTAACCATCCAACGATTGTCAAATCTTTCTTTTTAAATTCAATTTCTGATGGATTAAGTTTATTTAACTCGGGATTCAATCTAACCACAATAATTAGTTAGATTTTCGAAAAGAATCTATCTCACCTTGGAAGACGATGTCTTGGACATGGAATAAAACGAAATAATTGCGGGATTGATAGAAGAAAATTAACAATTTGTGGTATAAAGAATAATAACATTGTTTTACTAAAATGACCAATAATTCCAACGACTGCAAATGTCATTCCAGCAAAATAACAAAGCGTATCACCGACAAAGATTTCTGCTGGACACCTACATAAACCAAAATCAATTATGAAAAAGAACATCTGCAAAGTATCTATACCAATTTCTCAATAAAATAGGAAAAGTACATGCAATAAATGGAATCATGAAGTACAGAGAAAAGAGATGTTCTTCGAAACAAGAACCTAAAAGATATGATTGAACTGCAAATGAAAAGAAAGTCTTTATTTCATACCCTGCAATTCAATGATATTAAAGATTAGTATTGATACTGCAATCACAATCGATTGACCAACTTCTAATCCATTCACACCAGCTAGAATATTAATCGCATTTGTACAAAACACTGCCACCATACTCATATAAATATAATACAAAATCCCTATATAGTGCAAATGAAATGATTTTCATGTGTTCTACAAAATCTGCTAACCGAGATTCCATTGATGACCGATGTATGATCGAACTGGTTTAGGCAAAATAATCGTTGTTGAATGATAATTAGCAAAGTAAACCAATAAGAGCGGTAATGATGCAATTAATGGTAGTAATAATTTGACACTCCAACGTAAATCCAATACATCGTCTGCGAAACCCAGTAAGACCATACAGCAAATGGAAAGTAGTGCAGCTAGATATTCGACAAACTTTGAAAAGAATCAATTCAATATGAACTAATGTCGATCGTCTGTTTTACTTTGTTATGTGGGAAATCACTGTGAGGATGAAAATGCTCGGAAAAGACGATAGCAATCATAATAAACATGAGTATGAGAAACATTCCAGCAGCTATAACACCTTGCGATTCGGCGCTAGAATAATTTCAAACAGATTTTTGTTTTCATCTATTACTTTTTAAGATTAACTTACATTTGAATTTCTCGTGAAGTTCTTTTATTCAAATCGTATCCCCATAGTTGTGCTCGAATAAATTTTTCTTTCAAGATTGGAACTAGACGATTGACAATCAAACCGCCGACAATCGAAATACAGATATCAAAGACAATTGTAAATAAATCAAAGCGATCAAGTGTTGATCCTGATGTCTGAATTGGTTTCATTCTAGAAATCAAATAAGAGACAAAAAAAAGAAACTAATTGTTTTTTTTTCATACTGATCAATGGTGATGATCTTTTTATACAAAAGAAACTTAGAAGGAAGGAAAATACAAGTCGCAAGAGATAGTCTAACAAGGGCAAGAGAAAACAAACGGAAAGGAGATAATAGAGAAAGTTTTTCTTTTTCTTGGTTGTAGATTTATCGAAATTCCATTGGCATGGGAATGCTCTTGATGTAATCTTTTGTTTTACGTTCATATTCACGTTCAACAGCCCAGCCTTTTAGATCAACTTCAGGGTGACGACGCATCCAAATCATATGATGCTTTTGTTTCATATAAGCGTCGACACAACTGTGTGGAGTACCCATTTCACCATATTTTTGATACCAATTTGCATGTGATTCGAATAGATCATCTTTTTCTTTGGCGCATTTATCGAGAGCATCGATTCGGCCTTCATGGACAATACAACGTGATAAACGATCTTGAAGAATTCCAACAATCATTGTATCAATCCGTCGGTCACGTAAAAACGCCATCTCTGCTTCGTAAAAACAAACTTGATCTTCGATCTCGCACTCATCGATTGTTTTCACTGGATTAAATTTACGATGATAATATGGATAAGCTGGTCCACGGAAGCGTTCGACAAAATTACGATGAAACCATCGTACAGGCCGTAAATAAAGTGCATCTAGAGTTGTATAGCCAATATCGGACCATTTATTTAGTCCAGGAACGTATTCCTCCGTTGTTGGTTCTGGCATTTGAATTCTAAAATAAAAGAACAAAATATTACTAGCTGTGCTGCGACAATTCCTCGATCGATTTCTTTGACGAAGCGAAAAAACAGATGGACATATTTGGTACACCACGCTGTAGTCGTGCTAGCGCTAGTTTACTAGCTTAGAATGTAGCGCCGCAAATTGATAATAATAAACAGAAAGAATTTTCGGAATTTGCATTATTTTATAAAGAAAAAAGAAAGATTTGAATATTAACGAGACAAATTTGATTTATTAGTTAAAGTTCTGCCCAAATAATCTGATTGGTTCATTACTTAGCCAATTACATTTAATTGGTTTTCAATAACATAACAACTATAAGTTGTTAATTGTTCATCTTCAGAGAATAAACGTCCAATTATCATTGATGTTTTAATTCAAAGGCAATAAATCGAAATTGTAGTTTGTGATATTGATCACTTCTATACATCAAGAACTATAATCGGTGAAGAAAATCCACAAATCTTCTCCCAAGGAGCTTCTCTTTTCTTCAAGTGAAAGATAATTCTGCGATGATTCACTTGGTGTTTTCTGCGCCTTCAAATTTAGCTCAAAGAAGCTCAAATGACATGTTCTAGGGCTTTCACGAAAAACAACTAAATTCCATCTAGTTATTTCAGCGTTTCTGCATTTGTCGAAACAAATTTATGCGATGTACTATTAGGTTTCACTGCTCATCATGTCCGGCAACATTTTACAAATGCAATTCGAAGTGAAGAGTTTTTATTATTATCAATTAATCAAATGACCGATATCATATCTGATGATGAATTAACTTTTCCCCTAGAAGAAGATGTTATCCTTTATACGATGGAACAGATTGTATATGGTGTTGAACAAAAAAAGTGAAAGAAAATTACACTAAGAATATTTTTGAATTTTTTGAACATATTCGATTTTTCTTTTGATGTTTGCACGATTTTTTGTCAATTGAGTTAGTTCCAATTCATTGATAAGAACAAATGAAACAAAAAACTTTTTACCAATCACTGCTAGGTCATGAAAATCATTAAAACTCTATGAAGTTTTTCTTGCTGTTGGTGTTCAGATGATGCATTAGCAGCTGTTGAAATATCTGATTCTCAGGCAAATCGATGAAGTAATGACATAGTATCAATACGTTCGTGTCGACCAAGTGCTGCGAACGGTGTTCCCGGTAATTGTTTATTTCCTCCTGGTAAACGAGATAGAAGACGGTTTGAATCATGTACAAAAGTGAGGTATTTGATTAGTCTTGCATTTCGACGCTACAAATTTCTTTTTATAAAGATATGCCTTAGCAATTCAACGACGGACTGGTGTTGTATCAATGAATGGAAAATGATCAGGTATAACTGTGACTGCATCTGATAGTTATTCTTGTGCTATCGGAGAATCAAATGGATGGTAAAATAGAGTGAGTATTGATCTATATGAGAACGTCTTTTTGTAAAGGAAAATCTGCTATGATTATGTTCAAAAAAAGAACATTTGATTGCAGAAAAGCAGAATCGAGACAATCCTATGTTCGAGGAACCGAACAAGGTAGGCATAAGATTTTATAAGTGCAGTATACTCGAGGATATCAATCTTCTCATATTTTACTCTTCCTTTTCAATTTTTCCGTTATTCTTGGTTGTTATTGCTCAACATGTATCATTATCATTTTATTTTCTATTCTGGATCGGTTTGTTGTTCAACGCAGCAGCAGAAATTTACTCATACTTTGCATCTGTATATCGTCAATATCTTAACGAAAGATTAAGCATTAGCAGCAATCTCCATGTTGAAAAATACGGGCTGGATCCAGAACCATTGTTCTGAGTCAAAAAGAACACTATGAAGAGTTTCAACAGCTTTTTCAACACTTACTATAAGGAAATGTTTATTTAAAATAAAGAAACTCATAAAAAACCATGTTTTCGGACGAGTGTCACTAGAAGAGAATTAACCATGCCCTCACCAAATAAAAATTTTGTTCAACACATTTCAAAGATTTCATCTGAAAATCTTATAACTTGTAATTATCAATAAAACACGAACGAAACACGTTTGTAATGATGCATGTACATATCTTATATCAGTTTGTTCGAAGAAAACATTTGAGTTATTAAATTAAAATATTTTTTTAATTGCTCCATTTTTGATAGTGTGTGTGTGTTGCCATCAGTTTTCAACAATAGTCACACATCCTCAAGATTTATGTATACGTTTTCGAAGATCAGTGCGCTTCGAAATATCTAGAAAATGGTGGCCTTCGAATATTCTGTCGTACAGTAAAACTTTGCACTGACACCCACAGTCGAAGTTTCAAAAGTGACGAATATTTACAGAACCTTTGATCAATACCTAGACGAATGCTATCTATCTGAATCCTTAATATTGATTAAAAGAACGATAACAATCGACAAGAGGCTGGAAGCGAATGTCGAATATTCTCATCAGTGGAACTCAAAGGATAAATAGAGCTGACGAAGACGAAAAGGTTCGTTTTAATTGGCGACAACGGCCGAAAACAAGAAGATGGTATCTACGACATTCATTGTGTTTATTGCACTCATCGGGTTAACCAGTGTGTATTCAAGTAAGTGTTGATTTGAGCGAGTAATGACACAAGTGAATGGTGTATTAATGTCTAGATATCAACGATTTTGATTGTTTTGAACGAGCTGATCCTGGTCCAGGTCGTGCTTTCTTTGAATTATACACTTGGAATGCTCGTAACAGGACCTGTACGAAATTTGTTTATGGCGGTTTATTGGGAAATCACAATCGATTTCAAACAAAAGAAGAATGTTACAAAGCATGCCATGACGCTGTCTTACGTATGTTTTCTTCTCTTTATCATGTCATTAATTATTTCGAAATCTTCTAGATAAACAATTAAAATTTCATCCAACTCGTCGTTACAGTGCAGTGAATCGTTTACATGAAATGTTTCAAATAGCTCTGAATATCGAAGAAGTTGATCATTATTATTTCAAATTAATCAGTCAACCAAGTGGAAAAGTCTTGAGTGTGATAACTAGCGACAAATCGTTAACTATTGGAACACAAGACTTCCGCAACGATAATTCACAACTTTGGGATATCATTCCAACAGGTGAAAAAGATTATTTCCGAATCAAAACAGTAAGCAGACCAATGGGTCAGATGGATTATATGTTTTTACAAGTAACTGACCAGGATATCACACATTTAACGTTAGCCAGACGTGATTATGACGATCTCAGTCAACAATGGCGATTCGTTTGAAAATCGTCATAAATAAACTGTGTTCTATCAATCGTCTCGTTTTTTTTGTACAAAAAAGACTGATCTGAAGACGACCTTTTGGTAATTTTTTTTCATATGTGCAAGGATAGTCTTGTTATTGTTATTGAATATCGATTATTCGGCTTAACTCTTGTCATTCGAGTTCGTTTTTCATTTCGATATATGTCTTTCTTTTTCGTTGATCATTAAGACTATGAATGACAATAAAATATACTAGACAACGACCTTTTATTCGAAATCTGCTGTTAGAACACGTATTTTCTTCTTTTAATTCAAATAATGAACACGTCTGAAGACGAAAACTTTTCAAAACTCCAAGGTTAACGGAAATAAAACATCTTGATTTGTTTAACAAAGAGTTCTAGACGTGCAGAATACACTTGGATCATACCCATTCGAGATTTGTTACTTGAAGTCAAGGTAATGATTTCGTTGTAAGTTTTTTTTGTCAAATGTTTGTCATTATGTCGTTATTACATATTCAAAGCCACATTCTTTCACGTGCACACATTTAATCCTAATAAGATATAGAGAAAAAAAGACAAAGAGAGAGAGAGAAGAGCTCCGACTTATCAACATATAAACGACGTCTATAAATGTAAGTAAAGCGACATTTTGGATTTGATCACCTTCTATCTCCTTTCATCGAGCTATACGCAGGAATCTTTGTGCAAATATGCGCTTGAGTTTAATAGTTTTACTATGCTTCGCTATTGCTCTGGCCACTTCAGCAACGACACGTCGTCGTCCAACTAAAACACCGGCACCAAAGTCGGCTTATGCTTACTTACGTACTGTTCGTGGAAACAGTTCGTGTACTAGCGGATCCTGTCCGTTTTGGGAAAGACACGGACGTTCGTTCGCTGCACTTCGATGCTACTCTCAACAATATCAAGAGTGCACATGCCTCCATCGCATGTGCTTTAGTTCATGCATGTTTACACGAGAAGTTTGTAATCAAGAAATGGTCTCATGTTTACGACAAATCTGTCCACGTTGTATGCCACCATCGGCATCAGCTATGTGTGCTGTTTATGATTCCATGGCTACACGCGTAGCTGAAGCTCTATCCATCTTTGCTTGCTATCCATGCTGTGCGGTGTTTCATACTACGACAGCCAATACTACAAGTATGATTCACTTTTACTTGTGTTACTGGTATATGTAAATGTTTGGTCTTTTCTATAGGTACACCTCCAACAACAACTCGTAAGTTACTATAAGTCTTGTATTATGAAGTTTTATCATTAAGATCATTCTTTGTTACGTTTGGCCAGCTGTTGTTCCTGAAAGTTCAACAACAGATCCTTTTGCATTTACAGACGGTAAGCGAATGGAAGTTTATCTATCAATCAAATTTTATTTTGATTTCATTTCATAGGTATGTCAACTAGACATTTTTAATTGATCATTTGTTAAAAATATGATTTTTCGAATGCACTAGACAGTCTTGGTCCGTCAAATTCAGAAATTCCAGAAGGTAATCCGTTTCTGTAAAACTTCAATTAGTATTGAACAACCTATGTATTGATAGTGACAGATGATTACTATACTGGTATCATAAATATCAATCCAACAAGTAAGATAAACTACGCTACGATTTATTTGTATCATCTTTATCGATTCTTTTTTTCGTCTTGTAAGACGCTGTCCCAATTAACAATCAAAATACTGGTAAATACGCTTTAGTCATCTTGATTGAACAAAAATCTTAAGTCTTTATGTAGGATCTTTCCCGACAAATAATGGAAACAATGGAAGTAAGTACGACGTAAAAGATGATTACTTTCTCATTAGAATATCTACACCGGCATAGTAAAATTTTTATTACCGAAATAAACATTCGCTACAATTATTTCTAGTCTATACCAATGGAAACGGTAACATCTACCCAAACACAAACACTAACAGTATTCCTAACACACCCGTCAATACGAATACTAATGCTAATGGAAACGGCATTCCTAACACGAACACAAATACTTTTACTAATACCAATGGAAATGGTATTCCCAACTCGAATACAAACACTTTTACTAATACCAATGGAAACGGTATTCCCAACTCGAACACAAATACTTTTACTAATACCAATGGAAATGGTATTCCCAACTCGAATACAAACACTTTTACTAATACCAATGGAAACGGTATTCCCAACTCGAACACAAATACTTTTACTAATACCAATGGAAATGGTATTCCTAACACGAATACAAACGGCAATACCTTTACTAATGGAAACACAAATGGCAACATCTATACCAATGGAAATCTAAACGGTAACGGTAATCCCAATGGAAATCCCAACATTAATGCTCCTGTAAACACGAATGCCAATGAAAACGTTGTTCCCAACACAAACATTAACACTGTACCAAATACAAACACAAATGGAAACCCAAATACAAATGGCAATCCCAACAGCAACGGTAATGGCAATACCAATGCAGGTGGAAATACAAATGGTGTTAACAGTGTGAACACTGCGAACGGTAACGGTAATGGACTTAGTGGAAACTGTATGATATAGATTAAGTTTTACAATCATTCGATCGATTTTTATAGGTGTCGGTACTAATAACTATCCTGGCGTAGTCTTTCCTGGTAGTGATGCAATATTCTACAACAATAACTTTCCTCTTCGAAATCAACAAACTGTGAAACAACGTAGACGTCAAACTGTTCGTGCAACAAAACGTCGTTCATCAACAACACGTCGAGCATCAACTTCAACTCGTCGAACGGCTCAAGCAAATGGTACAGTTCGTGCTAACACTGTCAAAAGCAGTGTTCGTAAACCGGTGCAAGCAGCCAAAAAACCTCAAACAAACAATCGTGTCAAAAGTTAACTCTTGATGATACATTCATACATATGTCTTTATTTTCTTTCTTTTTTCCTTAAATAAAAGCATTTTGTCATATTATTGCAAAGTTTTTCAATATAAACCAGTTTATTTCATAAAGAAACATGTCGATTCCGATTCCGTTTTCGTCGAAACATATCAATACACATAGATTCACTATACATAAACATTTCTGTAATAAAAACGCACTGAAGCGTTAAAGAAATATTGTACATGCCCACGCTTCTGCGCGTCATCCACTCTTTCTTTTTTTTTCTCAACGCATCTCTTTTGGATTCTTTTTTTTTCTAACCTTGTATCGATTTATTTCATAAAAGTAGAGACGTCGTTATACACGCATCGATTGCACGTTCTCACACATGTCGATACATGTTGTTTCGCTATTCCTGACATCGAAAATGGCGAAGTCATGGTTTTATTTATGAGTGTATCGTTACTAGTCAGCAAATATCATCATCATGGTGCTTGCTGACGTGTGACGCGTCCTCTTCTCGCCTTTTCATGCATTGTATAATTCGTTGTCTCTATTTTTCTTTGCCTCTTTTTGAAGTACTTTTTTTCTCAAGTTGGCCATACGACACACACACGTATTCAGCAGAACCTTTCCTGGCTGTCGATCGGACAGCCAAAGAGAAGGCGAGAGAGATAGAGAGAAAATGAGAGAAGCATAGAGGACGATAGAGAGACGAAGAGACAGCAACAAAATTAACACATCCTCATTGAAGCACATCAAGGTAGAAAAGAAAGGTTTTCTTTTGCATTTCTCTCTTTTTCTTCTATTCTCTTTCTTTCTTTCTTGCTTCTAGAGTCCAGTTGTTGTTTGTTGTTGACGATCATTATAATTGCTGAGCTCGTCTATTTTACATTATTGTTGAGTGAAATTCTTGTCATTTTTTCAGAAAAAATAAGTGGTACCGCCTGCTGATCTACAGCTATGTTTCAACGAACAGGCGGATTTTCGGGTTCACGAGCACGTGCGTATACCATCGTTTCTCATCAGTCGACAATGAAATATTTCTTTTGCTTTGTTTTTTTTAGGATATGTGCCTAATGTTTCAGCTTCACGAGGTGTTTACCGATCAGCTTATGCTCGACCATCGGGTCGTTATGTCGCTCGACCAGCCGTCCGACCAGTAGTACCAGCCGGACGTGCACCTGGCGGTGCTGGCCTTCTTGCCGCTATTCTTGGTCCTATCGGTGGTCTAACTGGTTGCTTATGCTGTCTAAATACAATCGGTGTTTGGGGTCTTTTCATTACGGCAATTCCATTGACTGTCTTTATCAGTAAGTACTTTTCGTATGGTTTTCCTCGACGTTTTGTTAACTAACTCACAATCTTTTCATTTTCATTCAAGGTCGATGGTATCGTGCCTACAAGAACCGTACTAACAGCGGTGCTGAAGAACTTCTTGCTCCACAAATGCTTCTTATGTTACTCCTCGTATGTTCGTTCTTATTCACGTTCATGCGTCGCTCATAGACAACCTCACCGACGACTTGATCTTTATTTTGCTCTATGGTGTTATTTCTTTAAAACACATACATATATGCGCACAAACACAATAAATGGTTTTTATTTTTTTTCTGTTCATATTTTTTTCCCTATTTTCGCAACACAACGAATATTTTCTATTTTTTTCTCGCATGAAACATACGCGCGCGCGATTGAACTTTTTTTTCTTGATAACAGTAAAATAAAAATGACAACGACGACGACGATGATAACGACGACACAACAGTAAAAAGATCTTTATTTAAAACAAAAAAGCCTTGATTAACGTGCCGATGTTCAATGTTTCTTTTCCGTTTTATTTATCTATTTTTTGTTTCACACAAACTATTTCAAATAAAAAAGAAAACAACCAAAGTCTATTGACGTCATTCATCGTATGATTGAAATTTTCCATATAATTAAGATGACTAAATGCATATGTCATATACACATCAGACCGATGACCTTGAAATAATAACGAAACAAATTAAATTGTTTTAAATTCATATCAGAATTCATGATTTCAAAGTTTGCTTTTTTTTCGTGCTTATCATTATTTACATTCTTGGAGTTTTATTTATTTCTCTTCTTCTTCTTTCCTATTCGTCATCATGATCATGGTTATTCATATCATTTTGTCATGCATGGTTTCCGCACCATATTCATGTCTTTTGTATGAGTATGTCTGTGAAAATCTAATGTTTTTTTCTTTTTCGTCGTTTCTGCCGTTTTTTTTTCTCTTTTTGAGGTTGTTAGTTATGGATGTTCATGGTTGATTGCGCATATCGACGAAAAAAAGTGCTTCATCCTTTCTCTCATTTCTTTTTCGTCATTGATTCAAAAGCATTCACTGATATGATGCTTCCTGTGCGAAATTACCTTGAGTCGATCGATATGCCTGACAAGAAAAAAAAAACGCAAATGATAGAGAGAGAGAGAGAACCTGTACCGTCACCCACGTCTAGTTGAATATATTCATAGAGAATGCGACGCTTTTTTTTCTCCTTCATATTGGCAAGTTAGTAGATAGCATGAAAACAAACTTATTTATTTGTACATGGTCTCTTTCTCTCTCTCTCCCTTCTCTCCCGTGCCTCTAGTCGATCTTCGTTTACCTGTTAAAGAGAGAACTACGTATGCGAAAACAGGGAAAAATAAACAAATCTGATCTTTTTTTTTCTCTTCACTAGATAATATTGTTCAAACAAATTTTGTTTGTAAATATATTCTTTCGTTTTTTCTTTTCTTACAGATACACGAGTGTGTGTGTAAGTTAAACAATCAAGAATGGTCAATCCTATAGGCGCCGCGCTCNATGTTTATATTCTTCCAATTCGAATATTGAATATCAATGATAATTTCATCCAATTTCATGTTAATCGAACAGTAATCGAAATCGATGAGAATGATGAAAACTGGTCGAAGAAGAGTTATCTATTGCCAGAAGCTTATGATGAAGATGGCGATTCAATCACGTATTCAATATATTTACAAAATTGGATTAAACCAGATGGATTATTCGATTTCGATGAAACGAATTTATTATTAAAACCAATGAAGAAATTCGATCGAGAAGAACAAAACATCTATCTTCTTCGTTTAATTGCTCATAATCAAAATGATGCATCGACTGATATCATCATTCTCATTCGAGATGTCAATGACAATGCACCGAAATGCGAACATAATCAAACCGTCTTCCTCATTTCTAATCTCTCGGGTTTGACTTTCCTTTCATTGAATGCTACCGATCTTGATGAAGGTGACAATGCTAAATTAGAATATCGTTTAACGAATCCATCACCAGGATTTAGTATCGATCGATATAACGGTCAGATTAAATTCGACTCGAAGAGATGGATGCGTTCGAACGAATCGATATTAATCGTGAATGTTACCGATCATGGAAAACCTTTGTCATTATCGACCCGATGTTTTGTCGAAATCCAATTCACATCGATTTATCACATTGACTTTCATTCGAATATTTCCATCATCAATCAAACAACGATTCATTTCAATGTGAAAAATCTTCATCATTCACTTGGCCAATTTCGAATCTATGACAAACAACAGATGAAATTATGTTCAAATTGTTTCATCAGTCTAAACTCAACATACGAAGATATATTCAAGTTGAATTCGTCGACTTATGATTTATATCTGAATCTAAATTCGATGTATCTGATGAGAATTTTAACGAATTATTCGAATAGAAAAGAAAACTTGTCGTTGAATTTTCAAATTCAAATCAGCAGTTCATTCAATCCGTCGATAATCTCGATGAAAAATTACTCAATAGTTATCTTTTTCAATAAAGTTCATCTGTTAATTCATTCGAACATGTTTTTCTTGAAAATCGACCAAAACACTCCTCTTTACGAACGAATTCCTCTTTACAATCGTTATCATCATTGTTTGAACAATCAATCGACTGAACTGGTCTTGTTCGACCCAACACAAACATTTCAACTAGACGACAATCTCAATTTAGTCTTAATGAAATATTTAAATGTCAAACAACGAAAATTCTATCAATTAATACTCCAGCAGAACCCGAACAATTCGACGAATGACGTAAGTTCTCACGAATCTGTTCTTCGTTCTGAATACATTTTTTGTTTTGTATAGATAAAACCTTGTTCGATTCAGTTGAATCTTTACATTCTCGATTCTTATTCATCTACACATGTCTTACCTTATTTCTCTCATCCATTCTATATTTTAACTAGTAAAAACATGTCGGAATTCTCTCTCCGAGCACTTCCATCACATGTCAGATACGTTTCTTCCGTACCAGATCTCATCTCAATCGATTCATTCAATGCTTCATTCACCGTCCGTTCATTAGCATTATATTCTTCGTATTATTATGATTTCCAAATCCAAGCAATCGATTCTCAAACGCCTTCGCTGAGCAGTTCAATTCCTATTCGAATCTTTTTCGGAATAAACAAATACCCACCTTACCTTTTAATCAACTCGACAAGACTCTCGATCGAAATTTTCTCTTCAAGATTTTTGTATCAAGTCAAAGCTTACGATCCGGATATAATATTTAACGAAGAAATGAATGTTTTAGTGCCTTCAATAGAATATGAAGTCGATCCATCAACGAACATCGAAATCGAACGTTTCACCGGTCGGATATTTTTAAAGAATTTGAATAAGACAAAGATTAATTTTACATTGATTATGACCGACTTCGGTCAACCAAATCGATTAATCACAAAGCAATCATTAGTTTTCGACATTCAATCAAGAGAAAATCTTTCGGTCTCGTTTCTATTCATACTCATCTTTACTCTGTTCATTATCGTTTTACTTGGTCTTCTATTAATATTCATGAATTGTTGTTGTAAAAAACGTCAGAAATCTTTGAAAACTCAAGATAAAACAACTTGGAAAAACATTTCACCAACAGCACCGAATACTTCCTTGATCGACAACGAATACGTAAGTTCACTCTCTGGTATTTCTTTCTTCACACTCATTTGTCTTTTAGTTAACAACATCTTTACCTCGTGAACAACGAATTCATCCAACGCGTGCGAAAAGTGATACATTTCAACCTCGACGAATGTTTCCCCATCTTTCCTTAGAGAGGGTGAATATTCCATACTCATGTGAGATTCTTTCTGCTGGAGAGGACTGTCAACAACGTTTGTCGATGACAGATATCAACAAATATTTGGAACGTTTTGAAAAAATCTATAATGACTCATCGTCGCAACAATATTTACATCAACCTGTTGGATCTGTTGTATAAAACTCATTTATTTTTCACATGTGTGTGCTTCTTAATTCATAAAAATATATCTCTGTATGTACACAATCGATTATTTCTGAAAATAAACGAAACATATCGGTATTTCAGTACAAATCGATCGTATGTCTTACCTTCTTTTTCGCTCGCTTGCGTTTTTTCTTTAGTTTAGCACTGAGTTTGAGAATATCTGCAAAAACGTATTGATCGATCTTTTCGCTGACGTTGATGCGAATTTTCTTGAGTTTATCTGTGAAAAGAAGAACGTTTATCGAAATGAAATTGTTCTTTCGATTAAATTTACTTTCTTTTCGGGCTTTTAGTGCATCCAGAAGAATTCCTCCGCAAACATGTCCGATGACGTTTTCATCGAGATCGAGTTCTTCTAAATCTTCGGAGATTTCAATCAATCTTTAAATAGTGAAAATCGATTCTGTTTTTCTTTGTTAGAAATGAACAGACCGAGCATAAGTATTGATTGTCTCTTGAACAATGGTCAAACCATTTGGTTGTAAACAGTCAATTTCATTATCAAACAAATGAAGTTTTGAGACGATAGCTCCATATGGTGGAAATTCTTCATCTAATTGCTTCTTTTTCTTTTTCTTTTCTGTCAGAAGAGAAAATCGATCTTTTCTTAGTGGGAAGTATCACGTTTCTCATACTTTTCTTCTTCTTCTCTACGACAACTGGTTCCGGTGGTAGACCTTGTTGTTCTCGAAGTAAAGCTGTGTGTACCAAAAAAGAAAGTCAATGATCAATTCAATTTTACATCTAAGAACAATGAACCTTCTTGTGCTTTTAGTTCATTTTCAGCACGGATTCGATCTCGTTTATCGCTGAGTACTTTTTCACATTCAACTACTAATGATTTGATGAGATCATTTGCTCCTGTGCAGCCAAGTCGATTACCATCAAGATAAAGTTCGCTAACGAAAAAGATCGAATAATTTCATTCAGATGAGAACGTAGAGGAAATCTACCGTACGGCACTCTGAACTAAAAGTTCACCTAATGCTTTTCCAGAATCAGGACCGATATCACAATACGTCAACGAGAGGCGAAATATACCATGATTTTTCAACAAATTGGAACATAAGATCGAACATCCTTCATCGCCAAATCTAATTCAAAGTTTTTCATTTACTCAGCCATCTTCTTTCTACAAAGTAAATAAACACTTACTCATTAAAATCCAGATTTACTATTCGAAGAGTACCATATATAAAGTAATCTCTACAGAAACAAGTAACTCAATTCAGTCATATATCTTGTGATACATACAATGTTAGTCTTGATAGAGAATACGGTTGAAGAAGGCAATCGTTAAGTATAAGAGTCTGAACATAAGTTGTTGGAAGTTTTAAATAGGCATTCTAGCAGAAAATAATGGAATTTTCTGTTGGTATGCAAAGATGGTTTTCCTTACGAGATCAATACAATCCATTAGATCCATACAAAGATTCCATACACAAAAAACTTTGATCGTTTCATTTCTTGTTGTGATCAGTGCGCGAACTAACGGTCTAACATGTGTTTGTGGCTAAACAATTGAAAAAAAAACATAAGAATTTTGATGGATTGGTAAGAAATACGAACGATAGGAATCGGTTCAGCATTCGCTGTGGATTCATCGGACGGTTCAATTGGCTTTTTCAAAGGTATTGGTCGAAGAAATACCTAGCAAGAAAGTGTTTTCAAAGTTTGAAACAAACAACCGGATATTTACCTCTCTTAGAAGTCCACCTTCACCATCTTCAATTAACGATCGAATGACTTTCGTCACTTCCGTACAGGGAACACTGTTAGCTTCTACACTTTCTTCTTTATAACATTTTAATAATCCTCGCAATGATTTTGTATTCTGTTCGATAACTTCAGTGTTTTGTCTTGTTGGTTTTTTCTTCTTGCCTTCTGGCATTGATTCCTGAACTATTAACGTCCTGACAAATTATCTGTTGATCGATCAAAAATTACGAGTGACCATTTTCACCGTCTGTTTTCATGGTGATCCCTCCATTAAACGAGTCATCTATGCACTTACACTATGCAGATAAGCAAGCACGTATTTTTGAGAATGTTCGTTTGAATTTCATTGTTTTTGTTCGAGAAATATTTTCGACATGAATTGATTCAGGAGAATAGTTTTCCTAAATTTTAGACAATTCATTCAGCGAAACGATCGAAATCGGCAGTAAATAAACAATTCGACAGCTGCATGGATAAACTCTGGATTCCCGTTCGTTGATTCAAGAGAACGAATGAAGAGTCGAAGAAAAAAACAACTAATATACTACAGAACAAATCTTTTCGTTTGTACAAAATCTGCACCATCATCGTCATAAAAACAGGAGATTTGCTGACTTCATCGTGATTTCACGAATTAGAGACTTTTCTTGAAAAACCCTGAATAACAGCGTCTTATCTTTGAGAATTACGTTTCGAGATGTGTTGTATGGGATATCGTTTGAATTTATGCTCGTTTTAGATGGCTGCTGCAATTGAAACGAAACTTTATGTGACGAATTTTCCGAGTTCTGCAACTCGACAACAATTACAACAATTCTTTTCGCGTTTTGGCCGTGTACAAGAATGTGCGAGTAAGCCGCATGAACATTCCTAGTTGAGAAACGATCTATGCAATCTTGACATTTTTTAGTTATGTGGAATTCCTATGCATTTGTTCACTACGCAACTATGGAAGAAGGTAAAATCAAATGTTTTGAACCTACTTGTGTCGTTTATTAAGAAATTTTTATAGCACGTCGTGCACTTGATCAATCGAATGGTGCGATGTTTCTTAATCGAAAACTGATTGTTCAATTATCAACTTCACGATTTCGACCTCAACCAAAAGAAGCAAACAATTCATTATCACAACCGCCTAAGCAGTTAATGGTGATGCCTACTCCACCATCACCATCATCTTCTTCATCATCAGTTGCTTATCATCATTTAACCAATGGAGGAGGATCAACTACGAAACAACAGCAGCAGCCAAACACACTCACGCAACAGTATTCGAATGGTAAACGACTCATCGCGACTTCAACTGTTTATGAATGTAATTGATTTCTTTTCAGAAGTTAATTATGACATGCTCACAGGTTATGATGCTCAACAAAGTTCATCACCTCTACCAGAGAGACCAAATTATTTTCCGAATACATATCGTCCTCCATCACCATTTTATTTCTCACAAGATTTGAATAATGGTTATTATTCACAATATCCCAATTTACCGATGGATAGAATGACACCATCACCATTGTCTCTCCAATTGAATAAAATGAATCAGATGAAATCGAATAAGAATATTAAAACAGGTAAAATTCAATCTTGTGTAGGATTCAAATTAATCGGTTTTCTCTTTCAAGATATTGGTACAAATGGTGAAATACCTAAACTGTATTGTACGAATCTGCCAGAGAATTGTAAAGCGCATGATTTACAGCACTTATTTTCACCATTTGGTCATGTTGTCGATTGTGTTATTCTATGGGATTACTATGCATTTGTTACATTTAAAACATTTACCGAAGCTGAACAAGCTATGCGTGTACTTCACGGTTACACATGGAAAGATCGACGTCTTATTGTTGAATGGTCACGTGCATCAGGTCGAAGACAACAACAGCAGCAACAATTGCCACCATCGCCAACAGTAACGACATCACGACTTGGATCTTTTGGCTGTACGTAAAACTCGAATATGAACGAATCATTTTTTAATCATCTATGTTCTTTGTTTTAGCTGAAGTTTCGACGCCACCTTCGCCTCGTTCTCGTCCATCTACGTTATTATCTCACCAATCGGCTTCCAATGGACAATTTTATGGAAATAACTCACCAAAAATACTTTCTCCACTTAAATCACAATCACCACATCATACATTCAGTCAAAATCTTGCAATGATGTCGATGATTCAACAACAACAACAGCAACAGTCAGTTTTGTCTCATCATCACTCATCAATGCCATTTGGTCCGTATTCAAATCGAAGCAATGTAGAAACATTAATTAATGAAAATCAGCCGATATTCGACAGGTAATAACTATTAATTTCAATTCTCTTCTTTTGAAATTCATATTTTAGTTTAACAAACTCTTCTTCGGCACATCGACTCAACCTATCACCATTTCTCGAAAGTAACGGATCGAATTCGAATGCACTTTTTTCAGCATCATCTGATCTTCCACCACCATCATCATCTTCATCATCACCAGTGTCAACCACAAAAGTCTATCAACCATCTGATATCGTCGCTTTACTTGAACCATTATCATCAAACGTGCCAACAAATACAAAATCAGCAGACAACTCAATTATTAATGACATTACCAATACGTTGTCTTCAACTTCAACAAATATTCAACCAACTTGCTCATCGACTGTCGCTGCAGCAGCAGCTGCTGCTTTATTTCAGGAAAATTTGTTATCATCCTTATTTGGCTCATTAGAACCATTTAGTAAATTATTTCCAGTTGATGAACAATCATCTACACCAGCAACATCACGTTATCACCATCTTTTACCCGCATCACCATTGTTAACAACCGCACCCGATAGTAGTCATCATCCCGTTTATTATGGTCATAATACTTCATGGCATTAAATTAGCAACAAAACAAATTTGTCAATGTCTGTTTTTGTTTGCTTCTCTTTCACCGGTGTGTATTCATTGATCTTGGGATTCTTCTGTTATTATTTCGCGCAACTAAAAGAAACTATTTAGATCCTCGTGCTTTGTTTTT